TTACTTTATTTACCTGTTTAACCTAAATGTTCATATACTTTATAATAATAATAAATACACATGGAAAACAAGAAATAAAGTACTGTTACTTCTCTGGTACGTTTGTTAATTTTCCGTAAAAATGCTTTCAAGAAGTAAACTTTAGTGATACTAAGTCCTTTCTTAAATTAAACTAGTTTATTCTTTCTCAATACAACTTTGAAATTCACTTAATTTCCACGATCATGCTATAACTTAAACAAATGCTATAATTCACAACGAACGACACACGCGCTCGACCCAACTTTCCGTCTCTATCTCTGTCTGCAATTCAACTACATTGTTGTCGTCACATCTTGGCGGTCTTATATACAAGAATACCGCATATCTAGTAAACACTCAAGGCTTCACGAAGGGACGTGAATTTTCTAGAAGCTTATGACGTGTTACTAGCGTCACGTGACTTCCGCTGTCGTAACAGTACTTACATGGGTCTTCTTTTTTTTGCTGACACTTAATCCTACTTTTTTATACTAATGGTACTACCTCACTAAATAGTTTTTATTTAAATAAATAATGCACCAAGGAATACAGGATATTAATGTGCAAAAAGCAGACAATGTTCCATAACTATCATCTGGATTTCTAAGTATGCGACGAGAACTGTTAAAAATTCAGCTAAACTCATCGATGTGTTTCCCATGGGAATAAAGTTTGAACTGGAAGCAAAATAGATAATTATCTTTACAGAAAACAAGGTACTATAATATATCATTTGATAAATTAAAACTTTGGCTTTCTATTGGTTATAAATAATATGTCAGAGAAAACTATATGAAATTTGTGAATATGTGACAGGTGGGCATGGCAAGAGGGGTCTGATTTTTTAGTTTATGGCTCAGTAATCAAATAATATTAAAGGCTATAAAAATTATGCTTTGTCTGAGTAACAACAATATCATAATGAGTAATTTACATGAAATTCCTTACTTCTCTGTGGAGTGGGAAATAAATTAGGGAAGACCTAGAGATCAAATGTCACAATTCTCATACTAGAAGATATCTTTTTTAATATTGACTTACAAAATTAAATACTTAAAACTATGTATTAGCTATGTTTTGGTGCCAAGTTGATTCATATACCATAAAAATAAAGTAGTTTAGTTTAAGTTTGAATGCAACCCAGTAAAATCTCATGGGATTCACAGAAAATGATGCCTGTATGAAAAGAGTTAATGAATCTAAAGTTGTTTTATGACCTGTCATTATGTTTCTGCACAAAATATACTCAATAAATGTATGTTGCATATGTGGAGTTATATGTTATACATATTATTTCATTGAAACTACAATAAAGAATAGGAATGCTTTTCTCCAGTGTTTATGATACATAATTCAGAATAAATCAGATAGCGATCAGTATAAACAGCATTTCCAATGCCATCTAGCAAGCACTGATTATAATACATGACAACATCCGAATGAATTTGGGCAAATAATTAAAAACATGTCTAGAAATTATCAACTTGGGCAAATATTTTTTAAAACTTAGAGGGTACCCAAGTTATCTTGAGCAAATTGTAGGAGGGGTTAATAGTTGAAATTGTAAACATAAAAAAAATTGAAAATCTTGCAAAATGGTGTATTCAAAGAAGAAAAAATGTAATGTTTATTTTATTTCATAGCTTTCTACTTTTCACTGTATATTAATAATTTTGCTACAGTTAGTGTTAGGGTAAATAATATAACAGATAAATACAAAATCTTTTGATATTCATATTGGAGGTTCTAGAGGTTATGCAAAGGAAATATGAAAAACGTTTTTTTTATTCTTAGCATAAAAATCACCTTTCCCTCAGACTGATATAGAATAGGCTTCATAAATTCACAAACATTTTTTTGTAGAAAAAAATCTGCTTTTTTTGTATACAACAAGCCTCAGTTATATCTATACCTTTATTGGCACTAGCTGTTAAGTAAAGTTTCATTTTCTACCTGTACTTTATCAATTACTGTTTTTCACACAAAACCGATATTTTTCCATATTTCATGAAATATTACCTGTCAACATGAGTTTTGCTTTTTTCTTTGTATTCTATTGTTATCTCAAGTTTCAAATTTGACCCGTATTCTACTAAGCATGAATTGATAATTCAAGCTTAATTTTAACCTATGTTCTATTAAACAGTGACAATTAACCCAAGTATAAATTTTTACCTGTATTCTACTTAACACTGAAGGGTTAAAGATATACATTCCAGCATTTATTTTGTTTGAAACAAATTCTTGAGGCTTTTCCACAAATTTTTCTATCCTTCCCCTCTCATCATATACCACAACACCATATTTGGATGGTTCTTCTACCCTTGTTACCTAAAAAAGTACAAAACTTATATGTTTCCTATATTTAACTTCTATGTGGAATGTACAAAATGTTCAAACCTGTAGCTGGCTGATTTGTGAAGAGATTTAACAAGATGAATCACTTGAAAAAAGGAACTTCAACCAATTTAAACTAAAAATAGAGCCTTATTAGAATCCTTTTATGACAGAAACAGCAGTAATAATTTCTTAATATGAACAAAAAAATCTACAATCAGAACTGTTATTACCATAGTAAAATGTTGTTACTCATTTTAATTTTCTTGCCCCATTCTTGACACTTTGAGATTTTAGATTCTTTAACCCGATTTTCATATCCTGATTTAAGAATGGTTGTTGAGATTAATATTACAAATAACTTTTTTTTTTCATATTTTACTATATAATTCTTTTTCAAAGTACGCTCAGCTGGTCAGATAGTTTATCAATTACACATGGTTGTAAGAACAATACTGAAAAAAATTACATTTTTAAAATTAAAATGAATTTCAAACAGGTTCTTATCTCTGAAATACAGCCTCTTCTTGCTGAGTAAAATTTCCTTTGTCAACAACAGATTACCTAAAGTCCTTGATGTAATCCATAATTTATCTCATATCTGACCAAAGTTCTCTACTCTCCCACCTTCCACATGATCTACTTGCACACATGTAAGGGGACTACTTAAGCTCTACCTTCCTGTCCAAAACCAGATATACTTTGCAGTTATTAAGTGAAACTACAAATCTCATGGTTGTGTGAAGGGATTGGAAAATTTGTTTGAAATTCAATTTAATTTTAAAAATGTAAAATTAAAACATATAGATTTCCTTGTGAAACAGTTTGCCTGATTACCCACAAAGAAAAGGAGGAGTTAATTAGAGAATGTGAAAGGCTGAGAAGCCCTTCACCAGTATTAATTGTTGGCTTGTGGAGTCAAGCATGAGAAATAAAAAAACAACCAAACTGAATAAGAATGCTGAATTTGCATTTGAGAATGGGTGAAGAGAACCAATCACTTGTTACAGAGTACATTATAATTAACAAGGATTGATCCATTGTCTTATAAAGTCATTCAGACAAATCATTCTTTCTAGCAAAATAACTAGTTACTCAGGATGGCAGCACCTTCTACTAGGCTGATTGGAATTAGTATACCTTGGTCACAACATTTCTTTGACGGATGGTAACCAAAAAGAGGAAGAACTGAATAATATACCAAAATTCTACTTATTGTGAAAGATTCTTGGTGGAGAATACCAGACCATTTTATCTTACAACAGAATAAGACTGGACAACTCCGAGTGTAGAATATCCTACTTCTCTTCATCCATACAATAAATAAATAAAAAAAAATGGGAGTAGCAAACAAAATAAGTTAGGTCACCTACCAGTCTAGGTGAACCAGAGGATGTGTTTAACAACACAATGGCAGTGCAATACAAACAGTGTAGAGGATAATAAGAATGGTATACTCCACCTGAGAGTGGAGCTGAGAGGCAGAATGGATATTCATAATGATATCTGTTATAATGCTATATGTGATCTGTATGTAGAGATAGAAAGATAGGTACTTGCTGAAGCATCCACCAGATGGCATCCTTTGTCCACATCTAGAGGGCATAACCCTCTAATGAAGCACTAGTACAAAGAGTGGTAAAGGTCAGAGACAAATGTAGAGGTTTTGTATGAACATATACGATATCCTCCATCTAAATAATAATAATACCAACAAATAGGGCTAACAGTTTTGATTTTTTAAATTACATCATGCAAGACAAATGTTAATAAAACTTAAACCAAAAGATAATTTAAGATCTCAACATTTCAGTTAAGATTTTAATTTTAGAGGAAATTTGATGGATAAGTCATAAGGAATTTTCAAAATCTGATGTTGTCATTTTCCCCTCTTTAAATACTTTGAATGCACTGGCTGGAAAGTTAAACATAACAACAACAAAACAAATTTCAACAGCTTCTTTGTGATAGCCAGAGTCTCCATGAATTATCAAGTCAGGACTTGTTAAGATACAATTTGTCAATGAATAAACCTAAACAGCAAATCTGAAGCCTTTGCATTCATTTGAAGCTTATTTTTAGTTCAAATAGTTTAAAAACTGTGAATTTTAGATGTTGTTGATGTGGAGAACTGTAATATCTATCCACATGTTTTGTATTTTTAATTTTGCAAATTTCTTAAGCAGACAGAATTGTAAATATATCATCTGAAACCTGGGAAGATTTTCTTTCATGCAGTTTATTTGCCATAGAGCTTCTTTCCTTCCCTGCATAGTTACTCAGGAACATCAAACTTCTTATAATGTTTTAAGGTGCTTCAAGTCTTGTGTCTGAACAGGATTTATTATTGTGATTTAGTTATGATATTCCATTATTTGTAAACTATGGAAAGGTCATAGATTAACTTAAAGAGTTTCCCTCCATATCAATTTAGTTTAGTGAAGTATTTTTCTAGGCAGTTAATTTTCTGTTTATAAGAACATCAAATTTATATTTTAAATGGTTTTATAATTATCATAGCATGTGGATGAAAGACTGGAAACAGTATCAATGACACCATGATGAAAAACAGCTCAAAATGATTGTTAAACTATAAAGAAAGAACATCAGCAACATCTTGCTAACATATGGGTAACAAGAGATGAGAATTCTGCTTGTCTTGCAAAAAACAGGAAAACAGCTACATATGAAGTCGTATATATATATCAAACCTTAGAATGGAAGATGAAACAGAGTGGAACACAGATGAAAAGGGTCTTCCTGAGAGAGAAGGTGCAAAAGGGGAAACCAAAATTGTCCCAGCCAAAAGTGAACTACGAAAAGAACTTAGAAATGTATTGTAACAGTCAAAAACAAACAGCTGCTACAACCAGGGTTGAAACACACAAATCAAATTTATTAAGACAGCCATAGAAATCAAAAATTAAGCTTTCAATAAATCAAAATATAAAGTTTCTCACTTAATAAATATGATCTGGTCTGGAATTATTAACATTCATCCTCACTCCCCAATCATGTGGGCAACGTAACTTATGGAATTATGTGGAAGACATGGAACAAACTGTGCTCAACCAAAGACCCAGTATGGGATCATTCTGTATTCGTAATTACAAGGAGACAATAGACCCTCTTCATGAACAATGTACTGAACCAATACTGATCAAAAAGAATGGCCATACTCAACCCAACAGGATAGCTGAGCGTCAAATCTGAACCAGTATTACGAGTAGGCTCCTGCATTGGCTAGTGCCTCTCCTACCGAAATCTGGGAAAAAATATCCAGAAACCTAGGTAGGAAGGCCCCCCAGCTTCACTCTCTTCTCCAAGAGTGGAGGAATTCCTCCAACACTATGAAAGCC